TTACCTCACAGGAACCTATTCCACTCTGAGGGCCACATTTCCTTCTGGGTCACCAAAGTGGGCGGAGCAAAAAATGCAAATATTATCTTTGTGCAGTAGACTAGTTCCTACACATTTTACACACCCTCCTCTGCCCTCCACTCAGTCAAGCAAGAAGCATGATCAGAACTCAAGGACACATTCCAGGCAGGCAAAAACATGTGACCAGTACCAGGGAAGGGTATGGCTTGGGAAATTCCCATGGAGTTTCTGATCCCTACCTCACAAGATTGTTGTAACATTAGAGCTGGATAATGCAAGGACTTCCGGGGTGGCGCCATCGGTAATGGCGGATTCCCTCTGATCCGGAGGGACCAGCTCCACGGAAAACGGGTCTTTCTCGCTACGGCGAAGCGGGGACCCTTTCAAAAATCACAGGCGGATGAAGCCTGTGACCATGGGACTCGGCGGGCACCTTTAGCACCCCCCCCAACCCGTACAGGAACCCACTTATGGGCTCCGGAGCGAAGAGGGGGAAGTGGCGCGGTGCTGAGAGTCAACTGCTTCTTCCGTGGAGCGAAGCCGCACAGCCGTTGCCGGAGAGCGCTGCCTTTTTCCTGGGACAATTTGGCTTTTAAAACAATCACCCGTGAGTACTTTAATTTCGGACAATTGGACTATAAATAATGACCTGCGAGTAGAAAGGAAAATTGGACTAAGAAATTCATCTCCATTTGGCACTGAAACGGGAAGGTCTAAACAGGAAGTCAGCCTTCCTTTTCTTGTAGATAGATTAAAGCAAAGACATGGCAAACTAGAGTTCAGAAAATCGCTTGTAAAGGATTAACTTTCATCATTTAAAATTGTTGAACCCCCTTCGGAAGCAGGAGAAGAGGGGGGGTTTCGGACTGTTTAAACCTGCAGAAGAGAGTGTAAAGCAAAGTAATTTTCCACCGTCTTGATCCTGGGAGCGGGGTGTCAGGACTGACGTTCATTGGGAAGCTCATTGACCAGAGACAAACGTTTTTGACAGATAGTTAAAAGAAGAGAAACATAGTGATTCCATTGTTCTCTTTCGCATTTTAAAGGAACAAATATAGACAAAATATCTGAAAAAGGAAACTTTGTTGCTAGATCTGCCTTTAAAAGAAAAGAACAAATAGAAGTTCTTCCCCTAGAGGGAGCCTGTGAAACTGTTACTAAATTTGAATCGGGGAGCTCTGCAGCTGCAACAGATTACGATCGTGGGAATAGACTTCTGACCTTGCAGAACAATGTATCCAGAAGCTCTGGTGCGTGCTTTCTGCAAAACAAGTGCCCTACTAGAACAGCTACATGAGAAGACGGACTTGATGACTGCTGCGATCAGAAATTTTGGACAGGTAGTGGGAAACTATATAGAGCCCACCCAGGAATCACACAGAAGTGTGCTCTGACAGATCAGATGAGGGAAGAGGATGTTGCTGAACCTCAGGCACCAGAGATGGAGGGAGATGTGGCCCAGCAGGAACATGAGCTCTTGGATCTGACAAATGAACTTGGAAAAAGCCAGATTTGGAAAGATAAAGTTTGGTTTGGTTTGGAAATGGGGGGTTGGATAGACCCCCCTATGCAGGGATGTTTGGACTTTTCAAGTCTGGCAATGGGTCGTGAGATGTTTGGGGTTGTGGGGGCTCTTAATTCTGAAGGGACTTTGAAACATGCTTTTAAATACCACATGGAGTTTAGTGTGGAATATGGAAAAGGGACTGATTTGTTGAGAAGGGTCAAAAACACTGTCAAGTTGGAGTTCCCACGAGTGAAAGGAGCAGGAGACAAAGTAAAGTACAGGTATAAATATGAAGAAGAGCCACAGAAGGGACATGGAAGAGACTTAAGGGCCTCGGACATAAGATTACCAGGTTAATGCGCTAGATTGATGGGATAGAAAGGACTGACAAAACCCGGGACCAGGAGGAAGAGACGCTGGATGAAGATTGGAAGATTTTTTTTTTTTAAATTAGGATTGCTTTATAAAATTGATGAATGTTAGAAAAATGTTGGAACGAAATCATCTGGCTTTAGCAAAAATGTTAAAAGAATTATGTAAGAATATGTTATGGTTATGAGAAATTGGTATAAATAAGATCTAAGTTTCAAGTTTTAGGGTCTTTTATAGTAAGATAAGGTTAAAATAGATTAAGGTAATGTAATGACAGAATATTATGAAAAATGGAAAGGATTTGCTGTGACAATTAACAACTAGGATACAAAAAAAGGGAGGAGTGAGGAGGTCAAAGAAAGAAGGTAATGACAGTCAAGGATTTGAGAATATTGGACTTGTTTTTTAAATGTTTGTGGCTTATTTTAGTTTTTTGATTGTGTTGTATTACGTGCTTTGTTCTTATTTTTTTGATTTTGATTTTTATCTTTTTCTTTTTCCTTTTCTTTTTTGTTTTTTCTGTAATTCTAAAATTCTTAATAAATATCATTTTTTTAAAAAAATAGAGCTGGATAATGCAATGGGAAGCAGTTTGAACACTTGATGAAGGGCTTGTCCACACTTCTGCTTGCCCTACCACTTCCCCCCCGGGAAACCCGCCGTTTACTGCTGAATCAATTGGTTTTTCTGTTTATGGATGTTCAGATTCACTGGTAAACAGCAGGTATTCCTGGGAAGAGTGATGGGACAAATGAAAGAAAATGCACAGACTCATGCCTAGAAAGCATAGGGCAAGCAGAAAACCACTTGGACTCATGCTTTCTAGGCACAGGACAAACGTGGATGAGCCCAAGCACCATAAAAATGCTCAGAATCATGGTGTTCTGAGCGCTCTAGTTTTACACACAAGGCACTGCTTACGTTTGGATGTATAGACACCATACACATAAAGCATATTTAAATCCCAGATCCCTGCAGAGAGCTACAATTCCCAACACCCTGAACAAATTACATTTCCTGGGATTCTTTTGGGGAACTAATGTGCTATAAATGGACTTTAAATGATATTGTGTTTGCGAGGGGGGAAATTTCTATGCCAGGATAAGGGAAACTTTGGAACTGTATTCTGTTTCTTATGGGATATTGATATTCTGGGACAGGCAGAGAGAGACTTTGCAAAGAGACTTGTGGCAATCGTAATAACTTTTTAGAATAAGCGGCATCTGGCCATCCAAGATTTATAGATACAGTATGTGCTAACAGTTGGGCCAGATCATAAGCAGTCAAACACAGGTAATATTGCTTTCCCATTATTACCCTCATGCTTTTCATATCTATGTTGCATTTAATTTCTTCAAAAGAGGAAACATTAGCAAAGTGGTTGATGGGTCTGTAAGTGATTGAAAGCTGGGCACAGAGAAATGTATTGGATTACATATTTCTCTGCAAAACCCGCCAGCAATTAATTTAAATCATTTCCCTAAATCAAAATAAGTAGAGCTTTCGGCAACCTTTGAAGTTTAGTAAGTGTTTAGACGGTCCATAAAGCTCTCTGAAGTGCCTCCCACCTCATTTAAAAGGGGGTGGAACTAGGAGTGGGCTGTGCAGGGAGGAGAAAGGATTTGGGGTGAGCTGTGAGGGAAGAGAGTGGGGCAATTTATAAGGGGGTAGGTGAGGGGCGGGTGAGATGTAAAGTGAGAGGGGATGGGGCAGGTTTAAAGGAAAGAGGGGTTGGCCAGGTGTGGGGGAAGAGGTGATAGCAAAGGGGGCAGTGAGTAGGCAGGCTTGATGAGTGGAGCAAGTAGGGATGACAGCCGTGTGTGTGTGTGTGTGTGTGTGTGTGCGTGTGTGTGTGAGAGAGAGAGAGAGAGAGAGAGAGAGAGAGAGAGTTGTGTACTAAGCTTGGATCCTAGAACAATAGGCAAGTAGGATCCTAGAATGCAACAACTGATTGGCTTGCAGGAAAAGACCAATCAGGCTCCAGGAGGAAGTTATTCAGCCTATTAGGCTGGTAGGATCGTAGAATGCAACAACTACAGTGGTACCTCAGGTTAAAAACTTAATCCGTTCTGGAGGTCTGTTCTTAACCTGAAACTGTTCTTAACCTGAAGCAACACTTTAGCTAATGGGGCCTCCTGCTGCCGCTGCACTGCCGCTGCACGATTTCTGTTCTCATCCTGAAGCAAAGTTCTTAACCCGAGGTAATATTTTTGGGTAAGCGGAGTCTGTAACCTGAAGCGTATGTAACCCAAGTAACTGTAATTGGCCTGCAGGAAAAGACCAATCAGGCTCCAGGAGGGAGGCAAAATCAGCCAATCAGACGGGACTCATTGTGTAAATAATGTATATAAAAGCCTGAGGTTTGGGGGGCAATTCAATCACTGTTTTACAAGCTGCAATAAAGAGCATGAAATCACTACAGGACTCTGAGTATATTTCAGTGTGTATCAATAGATATAGATAGAGCAAGCAGTACTGGACATGGGCTAAGAAGACCTGGATTCAGGTGTCTGCCTACAGATGGTGCTCACTGGTTAAGCCTAGTCTGCCTCTAAGGGTTGCTGTTATGCTATAAAAAAAAAGCAGCCTGAGATATTTGAAAGAAGAGCAAGTTTAAAACAAATCCTAAGACTCAATATTTAAAAGTTTTCACTACATTGGCCATGCTTTGCACTCTGTCTGTGTGTGTGTCTGTGTGTGTGCGTGTGTGTGTTTGAGAGAGAGAGAGAGAAATAGAGAGAGAGAGAGAGAGTCAAACTTTTCCCTTTTCCTAGCTTATTTATACATGCCAGCAACTGAAAACCGAATATTTTCTGATATCTGGAATTCACATCATGTCTTGCTGCTAAATTGCCACCTTAAACCTCCCCCCCCCCATTTACCTTCACTGAAAATGCATATTACATCAAAGTGATAGACACATGCAGAAAGAAATGTCTATCAACAGTGACGATTTCATTGGGAAGTTTGTAAAGTGTAACCCATTTAAAGTGACTTTGATTCTGGGCAGTTCTAGACAGATGCCACCAGAATCCCAAGACTCTAGCACATATTTGAGAGAAATTAGGTTGCCCAATACATTTTGCATATTTGCCCTGCCTGGAGATGCCAGGATTTGAACCTGGGACCGTTTGCTTGCACAGCATGTGCTCTACCCCAAAGTCACAATCCTCCTTCTTGAATCAACTATAGGAGGCTGCAAAGCTGCCTGCTGCTGGGCTGGGGAACCAATTCGTATCACAGTCAAAGAATCCTGGGAACTGTAGTTCATTAAGGGTACTGAGAGTTGTTAGGAGAAGCCACAGACAGAGCTAAAGTTGTCAGAAGTTTAACAGTCAACCCCTCTTCCCAGGGACTTCTGGAATGGAGCAACTCCCTTATGACAAAAGCATGAGGCATTTGGGACTTTTTGCTTTAGAGGAAAACTAAGTGAGAGATGACATGAAAGTTTATCAAATTATGCAATGCATGGGAGAAACTGGAAAGAGAGAGAGAGAGGTTTTCCTCCCTCTTGTATAACACTAGAACTTATGGGTATCAATGAAGCTGAATGGTGGAAGATTCAGGACAAATAAAAGAGAATCCTTCTTCATGAAACACATGGTTAAACTATGGAACTCACTCCCACAGGAGGCAGTAATGGCCACCAACTTGGATGGCTTTAAATGAGGATTGGACACATTCATGGAGGAAAGCGCTATCAACGGCTACTAGTTACAATGGCTGTGCATTATCTCCATTGTCAGTGGCAACAAGGCTTCTGAATACCAGCTGCTAGAAACCACAGGAGGGGAGAGTGCTCTTGCGCTTGGGTCTTGCTTGCAGGTTTTCTACATGTATCTGGTTGGTCACATTTCAGTCCAGCATCTTGATTCAAAATGGCACCCAGCACCCAGGTGGTGATGAAGTCTGCCACTCGCAACTTGGGAACCTTTGTGCCGAGTTTGGCACCCAAGAGAGGCGACCCAATCTATGTCCCCAAATTGGTGGTGTCACACCAAAGTCATGTTTTGATCCACCATCTTAATTCAAAATGGTGCTCAGCATCTGAACATCAACAACGTTTGCTGCCCTCACCTTGGAAAGACTCATGTCAAGTTCGGAGATATGTCAAGAGGCATTTGAACTTGCTTAGAGAGAACAGACAGACAAACCACTTTCCAAAATTTATAGTGCATGCAGGAACAGGTTTTGGCGTGCAATGCTACTAGAAGTTTGCAAGCAACACCTAACCTATTTTCTCTTTTGACTCAGAGAAACTCCTGCATCCTTCATGTGTTAGCAGATGGCTTTTGCATTTAGCTCTTTGTGGACAACTGCTTCTTTTGTTTTGTATAACTATGGTTCTCCCTAACTATTTGCTATTTTGATTCCTCCTAAGCTGCATAGAGGGACACAGGTGGCACTGTGGGTTAAACCACAGAGCCTAGGACTTGCCAATCAGAAGGTCGGTGGTTCGAATCCCCACGATGGGGTGAGCTCCTGTTGCTCAGTCCCTGCTCCTGCCAACCTAGCAGTTCGAAAGCACGTCAAAGTGCAAGTAGATAAATAGGTACCGCTCCGGCGGGAAGGTAAACGGCATTTCCGTGCGCTGCTCTGGTTTGCCAGAAGCAGCTTAGTCATGCTGGCCACATGACCTGGAAGCTGTACGCCGGCTCCCTCTGCCAATAAAGCAAGATGAGGGCCACAACCCCAGTCGGCCACGACTGGACCTAATGGTCAGGGGTCCCTTTACCTTTTTTAAGCTCCATAGAACCCAAACGTTCATGGGTTACACAAAGGCACAATGTCCAAAATTGTGTTTATGCATCACCATTGTGACAGGGGCATGTCTCTTGCCTTGCAAGCAAATGCTTAGTTTTCTGTTCCAAAAAGTCCAGTGCTAAAAACCATATATTGTGGGAGTATTTAATGTAAGGTATTTTTTGTGCTGTTTTATGCTTTAGAAGCTGCCACAAACTTTCAGATAATGGCAGGGTATGACTTTTTTTAGAAATAAAAAATAAAAAATAATTTCAGTTGACTTCCCCACCCCCAAGATGGAAAATTAAAAGGAGACCACGGAGGAACTCAGGAGACCTCCAACACTGTTAATAAGTCCTTTCAGAAGCCTAATTCTTTCCAGATACAAATTGTGCAATTATTTGGAATGTTTAAACAAGCTAAGACCCTTACAAATGATACGCCATCGTTTACAACAGTGTTAATGCAAAATGATTTATATGTTGCCAACAACAAAGAACAGTTGCGGAGACGGCATCAGTTCATATGTGCAAAGGATTATTGGAAGGTCTGCCGGCCAATTAAATATCTCTTAGCCAATTAAACGTTTGGCTTTCAACTGATTCATTGTGTGATAGGTTCAGGAGTGGGGGGAGGGGTCTTCAACCCTCAGTACATTGCTGGACTACAACTCCCATCAGTCCTGTCCAATGGCCACACAGCAGAAGCTGGTGGGAGTTGGATTCCAACAACATCTGAAGGGCCACCCTTTACACTGCAATCCTATCTACTCAGAAGTAAGTCCTACTGAGTTTGAATAGGGCTTAATCTTCCTGGGTTCCGTCCAGGGTAGATCCACTGAAATTAATTTAGACCCGTTAATTTCAATGGGTCTACTCTAAGTAGAACTCAAGTCACATCCACCCCATACATTTTAAGCACAGGGCTTCCCCCAAAGAATCTTGGCAACTGTCGTTTGTTAAGGGTGCTAAGAATTGTAGCACTGTGGGCATAAATACAGTTCCCAGGACTTTTTTGGGGGGAAGCCGTGTGTTTTAAATGTATATTATAACACACACACCCTGCCTGCAATTAAGATTGTCGTCTTAATTTCCACACAATAACATCTTGCAATACTTGAATGAAGTGACTTTGGTGGCAGAGAAGGGATTGTGAAAGAAAGTGTTTCAAAGAAAAACACAGAAGGGAAGGAGGAGGAGGAGGAGGAGGGGGAGGGGGAGAAGAAGAAGAAGAAGAAGAAGAAGAAGAAGAAGAAGAAGAAGAAGAAGAAGAAGTTTATTTATTACTTATTGATTACACTGATATACCAGCTTTATCTTCCAAGGATCTCAAGGTAGCATACAAGCTTCTCCTCCTCCCAATTTCATTCTCACAACAACCCTGTGAGGTAGGCTAGCCTGAGAGATGGTGACTAGTACAAGGTCGCCCAGTGAGCTTCATGGCTGAGTGGGGATTTGAACCCTAGTCTCCAAGGTCCCAGTCTAACCAGAAGGAAGATTGAGGAGGAGGTACATGACCAGCTCTGGCCTTTTTCCATTTCCAAATTTAAAACATTTTCTGAGACAACTGAAACCAAGAGTGCCATGTTTCTGTTCTCCAAATCGGCTATGATTTTTAAAATATACCTACTTACTAATACTGGCAGAGATGTGGGACAAAACTGGAGGATCCTTGGAGAGGGCATTCTTGGTGATAAGTTCGGGATCTCCCACTTCACAGATCTGTGTCTTGTATCTTCATTATACAGCTTTCGGCAAATGCAGATGGGGGGTTGGCTGAGCTTAGTGGGGCAGTGCTGCATTTCCCCTGTTGGTCCAGCTTCTACTACAGTGGTACCTCGGGTTAAGAACTTAATTCATTCTGGAGGTCCGTTCTTAACCTGAAACTGTTCTTAACCTGAGGTACCACTTTAGCTAATGGGGCCTCCTGCTGCCACTGCGCGATTTCTGTTCTCATCCTGAAGCAAAGTTCTTAACCTGAGGTACTATTTCTGGGTTAGTGGAGTCTGTAACCTGAAGCGTTTGTAACCTGAAGCATCTGTAACCCAAGGTACCACTGTATTTAGAGGTCTCATCCTCCTCAGAGTTTGGTTGGGACCTCTTCTGCTTCTAAATATGATTTGTACTTCTGCTAACCCTGGAGTGCCTCCAAGCTTTTTGCTGCCTCCATCTTGTCAGCGGATGGTGCTATTTTGTCTACACAAAGAACCCAGTCGGAGAACTGAGTTGGTTATTTGCATATCACAAGAGAATCCAACATGGCGCTTTCCTGTTGTTGTTGGACTCTAGCTCAGCCTCAGCTCAGCTGATCAACTATCAAGGATGATGGTCTGGAAGAAACGATATTGGCTGCCCTGGAACATAAGATCATGTGATACAATGCCTTCTTTTTTTATCTTGACCTCTGGCAAGGCAAGGCGGGGGGGAGTGTGGGTCTCTCTAACAGTTACACGTTTAGTATACTGAAACTAAACACTCTTAAAAGAGTCTCCTGTTTTGACACAAATAGTACAAAAGCTGTTGCACTGTAAACGCCTGCCACCTTTAACATTATGCAAATACAGTTTCGGCACTTAACAATGCATTTATATTGAATTCAGTGCAACTTTTTAAGAAAATGTGCAAAAGAAATTAGGTTCACTTTATTAGTTGCAAATGTTAAGTCACGTTGCATCTCCCACCTTCTACCGGGAGATCTTCCTGTCCTGCCGTTTCATATTCACCCTAGGCACAATGGGCATTTTGAAAGCATAAATCAAGTACTGTCTCACTTAATATCATAGGCAACCCATCAAGCAGAAGCCAGGAGCAGGGAGGTCTGTTGCTCCCCAGGCAGGAAACTCTTGTAATCTTCCTTGTCAGGGGAACATAAGAAGAGCCTGCTGGATCAGGCCAATGGCCCATTCAGTCTAGCATTCTGTTCTCACAGTGGCCAACCAGAGGACAGTGGGAAAACAGCAAGCAGCATTTGGGCATGAGAGCACTTTCCCATCCTGTGGCATTCAGAAGCATAGTAGCCTCCAACTATGAAGGCAGAGCATAGCCATTATGGCTAGTAACCACTATGGGGCCATTGCAGCTCATGAACCTTTTATTGCACAAGGACTGCTCTGTTCAGGTAGTCCAGAGGGCAGAATGTGGCCCTCCAGGTCTCTCTGTCTGACCTTCAGGACTCTCTGTAGTTTATCAAGGGTGCTGAGAGTTATTAGGAAAACCAACCTTAGAAGGTTCCCTGTGAGGATGCTCAAGGTTCCCCCACTACTGCTCTGCCCTGTAACCCCCCCCCCCCAGGGTGGAAGTGAAGCAATGCAAAAGTCCCTGGCCTTGCATTCTAATAAATACAACTGGACATGATGAAAATAGGAGGTGCAGGTCGAATCACACCATAAATTTTTCATGCAGTAAAATGCTGCAAGTGGCAGAATGGACTCT